AATGCGGCGGCTGACAGAGTGGCCAGGGTCTGCTGGTAGTAGTGGTTTTCATCGCCGAACGGGAGGATCATTTGGTCTTCGAAATCCTCTCGTGTCTGCACCACTATCACTTCCTGGTCTTGGTCGCCATGGCCCGCGTTGTCAATGATGATCGGCTGTAGCGCGATCAGAGGCGGGTGGTGGTGGCCACCGTCAACCCAACTGCCGCTGATACCACCGTATTCTTCAATGGTTTCCCTCGACACGGTCTCCACAGGAACGGTCTCCACAGGAACGGTCTCCACAGGAACGGTTTCCACAGGAACGGTTTCCACAGGAACGGTTTCCACATGGATCGGGTGCAGCTCCACGATCTCTGCCGTCATCGCTGAGTTTTCTGCGGTGATGTAGAGAGCTTCGTTTGAGGACATGGCTGAGAGCTCAGTGGTGGTCTTGGCTACTCGGCTGCTGGTAGGCGACCGGGAGGCCGTGGGAAAAAGAAGGCTGAGGTGAAGGAGGCGCGAGCTCCAGAGAAAGGCGCGAGCCTGAGGAGAAGCGAGCACCCCAGGTAGGCGTGGCCTGTTGAAGCGGAAGAAGAGGGTGCCTCTGACATGGGTGCCTCTGGGCGTGCCAGGCGCATGCGCCCGAGCACTTGATGCCTCCCCTGCCCAGCAAGCGCGCCCACGACCAGGCCACATAAACGTGCACGTGCTCGCCTTAGCGGTCCTGCCTCCCGTCCAGGTATTGTTTACTGAATATTAATTTAGTAACCAGGCTCTTTACTGATTTTTTTCTGTGTTTCATTTCAGTTGATTTTCTTGTCTTCTACCCTCCTCCCATATGACAGTATGCAAAAAAAAGCCTGCTCCTTTCTAATATTTATACTTTTTTCCTTTTATTTAATTGCACTAACACCAACATTTAACATCAGTAATAGTTGATAGTGGGATTGCTTGTCTTGTCCTTTAATAGGAATACTTACAAGTGTCATACCATTGTGAAGTATCCAGCTATTCCTACTTTTACAAAGGATTTTTAAAAAACTAATGGATGTTGAATTTTGTTAAAAATTGTCTCAATATCTTCTGAGATGAGGACTCTTTTTCCTAATGGCAAATATTTACCACATTCAAATAGATTTCCTAATGTTGAACCATCTTTGCATTCTTGAGATAGGCCATGTGTCTGTAGGTTGTTTTTGTGCTTTACCAGATGATGTACCAATGTTCTATTGTCTTTAAAAAAGAAAAATCTTAGTTTTCTTCTCTATGTGATCTGGCAAGTTTAGACTAATTGGAATTAAAAAGAAAAGTCTTTAAGTCAAGATCTGAAAGAATTCCACCTATGAAACTTACAGGGGCATTCTTCATCAACACTCTTAATTTCTCCCATTGTCATTATTGGCCTATTTCAATTTTTTTCTATCTCCTCTGGGATTAATTTCAGCTTTATTTTCTTATATATATATATATATATATATATATATATATATATATATATATATATCTCCAGGTTTCTGAAATATTTTTGCAGAGATGAACAAAGAACACTTAAAATTGTTTTAATTTTCTCTGTATTAGTTGTTATTCCCCAATCTGACTGCTAATTCTGTCTATAGATGCTTTCTATTGTTTAATCTTTTTTTTTCCTTCAAGGAACTCTTGGATTTAACAGTTCTATTTTTCCTTTTTCTAACTTACTATTTTCTGCCTATATCTGAACAAATTAATTCATTTCTTAACTATTTTATAGTTCTTTTCTCATTTCTTAAGTTGAATGCTTAACTGATTTATTTCCATTTCTAATTGCATAATAACTGCCTTAGTGAATTTTCCTTTTGCCAAAACTTTGTACATTATCTCAGTGAATGATTTCATTATCATCATTTTTAGATATACTGAAATTATGGTTTTGAATTAAATTGATCCAAGATGTGATTAAGATAAATTTCTAAATTTCAGGTAGTTTTTAGTTAGGTTCCTACTCTTACCTTAGGAATTTATTCAGGCTTTCTTTGTGGACTGATATATAGTCAAATTTTATAAGTTCCAGGGGCAGTTGAAAAGAAATTATCTTCTGTGTTCATGGTATAGAGTTGGACATATCCATTTTTACCTTACTAATTAGAGCTTCCATAGCCTGACTTTTTAATACTTATCTGCCATATGTTAAGAGATGAGTCTTTTTATTACATTTCTATTTCTCTTTGTACTTTTTCCATTTTTGTTTTGTGTTTTGATAGTTTATTTGATACAGTAAGATTCACAACTGTTGTATTTTCACTATGGCTTATATTTCTTATTATTTAGTGGCCCCTTATGTCTAACTTAATGCTTTGGATCTTATTTTCAAAAGTTCACATTTACATGGTATGTTCTGCTCATCATTTTATTTTCAATATTTTTGAGTAATCTTTTAGATGGATTTCTTTTATACATCACAAATTTGGGATGTTTGCAATCCAGACTAAAGGCATTTTTCCTGTAATAGGAAAGCTTATCTCATATATACATATATATGCACATACACACACACACACACATATATTTTTTTAAAAAGACGGAGTCTCACTGTGTTGTCCAGGCTGTAGTGTAGTGGCTATTCACAGGTGTGATCCCACTACTGATCAGCAGGGAAGTTTTGACTTCCTCCGGTTTCTGACCTGGGCTGGTTGACCCCTCCTTAGGCAACCTGGTGGTCCCCTACTCCCTCGGGGTCATCATACTGATGCTAAACTTAGTGCAGATAACTGATCACCATAGCACACAACAGCACAGAACTCCTGGGCTCAACTGCTCCTCCCACCTCCAGCATCCAGAGTAGCTGGGACTACAGGCATGAGGCCCCAGCTCATTTGTATTTATTGGCAAAATAAATGTGTTTTGGTCTTACGTTTGTTACCTTAGTTTACCTTTTGATGTAAGGTCTATTTTCTTTTGTCTGTGTTTCATGCTTTCACTCTGATAACTTGAAAGGTTTATGTGTGGTTTTAGATCTTGTAGTGTTTACATTTATAATCTTAAGTGATACACTCAAGCCTCTATTTCTTGGTTTTTCAGCTTTAGGCAGACTCTTTCTCTCCACTATGAAGTTGAGGAAGTTAGTATTTAGACTTTCTGTTTTTAACTTTTCCCATGTTCAATTTTTTTGTTCTATTATATTCATAGTCTATTCAAGAATTCTAAGTCTATACTTGCCTAGCCTTGGTTATTCTATTTAAAGTGATGCAGGGTTGGGATTAATTTGTCTTGTGTCAATTTAGCTCAGATGGAACTGTGTTTCCCAGAATTTCCTCCCTACATAGCCATCTATTTCTTTTTTTCTTTTTTATTTCAGCATATTATGGGGGTACAGATGTTTAGGTTACGTATGTTGCCCTTTCCCTCCCCCCCAGTCAGAGCTTCAAGCGTGTCCATCCCCCAGACGGTGCGCATTGCACTCGTTATGTATGTATATACCCATCCCCTCCTCCCCCCTCTCATCTTCCGGACGCCCGATAAATGTTATTCCTATATGTGCACTTAGGTGTTGATCAGTGAAACCAATTTGCTGGTGAGTACATGTGGTGCTTATTTTTCCATTCTTGGGATACTTCACTTAGTAGAATGGGTTCCCGCTCTATCCAGGAAAATACAAGAGGTGCTATATCACCATTGTTTCTTATAGCTGAATGGTACTCCATGGTATACATATACCACATTTTATTAATCCACTCATGTATTGATGGGCACTTGGGTTGTTTCCACGTCTTTGAAATTGTGAATTGTGCTGCTGTAAACATTCGAGTGCAGATGTCTTTTTTATAGAATGTCTTTTGTTCTTTTGGGTAGATGCCCAGTAATGGGATTGCTGGATCAAATGGTAGATCTGCTTGTATCTCTTTAAGGTATCTCCGCATTGCTCCCCACAGACGTTGCACTAGTTTGCAGTCCCACCAGCAGCGTATGAGTGTTCCTACCTCTCCACATCCACACCAACATTTATTGTTTTGGGACTTTTTGATAATGGCCAGTCTCACTGGAGATAAGTGATATCTCCTTGTGGTTTTGATTTGCATTTCCGTGGTGATTAGAGATGTTGAGCATTTTTTCATATGTTTTTTGGCCATTATTCTGTCTTCTTTTGAAAAGTTTCTGTTCATGTCCTTTGCCCACTTTTTGATAGGGTTGTTTGATTTTTTCTTGCTGATTTTCCTGAGTTCTAAATAGATTCTAGTTATCAGCCCTTTATCAGATGTGTAGCATGCGAAAATTGTCTCCTACTCTGTAGGTTGTCTGTTTGCTCTTGTGACAGTTTCTTTAGCTGTGCAGAAGCTTTTTAATTTGATCAGGTCCCATTTATTTATTTTGGTTGTTGCTGTGATTGCCTTTGGGGTCTTCTTCTAAATTCTTTGCCTAGGCCAGTGTCTAGAAGAGTATTTCCAACGTTTTCCTCTAGAATTCTAATGGTTTCACACCTTAGGTTTAAGTCTGTTACCCACCATGAGTTGATTTTTGTGAGAGGTGAAAGGTGTGGATCCTGTTTCAGTCTTCTACATGTCATAGCCATATATTTCTGAGTGATTCTGTTTCTCTGATTCAATTCTGACAAAGCTAGAGTTCACCACCCATTTTCACATATCATCTCTTATCTATTCCCAAATTCTTTTGATTTATCTCTTGGTTAATTCTTTGTGTTTCTCTCTGGATTTCATGCAAATTTCAGCTAAAGTGATATTCTTCATAGTTTGTGGTTCCAGGTTGTGGCCATTTCTTAGCATCAGTAAAAATGAAGTTTTCTTCACTGTCTTCCTTAAAAAAAGTTTTTAATAATTTATTTTATTTTTAGTTGGTTTTAAAGAATAAATTGGAATGTAAATTTACTGTACTACTTTTGAGGAAGTCTTGTAAACTGAAGTTATTAACCAAAAGATAAGATGTTGTTTGTGATGTGAGTACTTTCCATAAAACCACTAACCATAGAAAACCCAAAACCAAAACCACAGATGAACATTAAAAAAAAAAAAAAATTAAGTCTGTTACCTGCACAAAATATCCTTAGCTGCTGGACTGGTGATATAAGTTGCAAATGAGTGGTGAACAGATCAACAAATGCTCCAGGATAAATAATGAAGAGAAAAATCCCGAAGCCATTAAATCGAACTTGTTCCCTAAGAAATCACATAAGAAAAAGGAATTTACTAATACTATTGTATTTGTCAAATTAATAATGCATATAATCTTAAAACTTCTCACTGTCATTCAAATTCTTGCTTAAAAAAGTCTCTCTGGACAGCCAAAAAATTATATGTATACTATATATGTAATCATAATTTTATAATAGTGTACAGATTTGGTTATCTATGAAATTGAAGTTTGTAAAATAGGGCATTCTGAAATAGACTTATAACTTCAAAATTTTCGGAAACCAATATGTGCTGAGCAAATAATTAAAATTAGTCACAGTTATAAAGACAGTTAATAATACTTTTTTCTTTTTTTTTAAAAAGCCAGTCAAATTTAGCAGTGGGGGGTTGAATACCAACTTTAGTGACACTAATGTTAATAAGTTCTGATAACCCACTATCATTGGACCAGCCAAGACAGTTAATAATACTATGAGAAACTAAATGAAAAACATTTTTATGGTTCACTTTGAACCATTTTCAGAGGACACAGGAGAATATATAATTCAAGTAAATTATCTAAATACTTATATTTGTCTTAGCAATTATAAATAATGATGGAGATTTATTTAAGTGTATTCCTATTGAGCTAATGTTAAAATATGCACATTTTAAAATGCATAATGCTCAAATTGTCCTTAAGAGAACAATTTTTTGTCACTTCATTTTCTAAAAGTGTACATTACATTTAATAATCTCAGAAGACCAAACAGCTACTCCAAAAAAAGCATCACCTAAATATATTTTGTGCTGTCACTCAATACTAAATATATAAGACAACTGTATAATTCACTTTTTATTGGCAGTTGGGATTAAAAAAAATTACCTAAGTCATTTTACAAACATATTGTAAATTATTAAGCTGTTAATAACGATGCCTCTATATATAAAACCCTAAAGGCTGCAAAGCTAAAAACGTGGAAGCAAAGGTGAAAGAGATTTAAAAAAAA